CACTCACTCACTCACTCACTCACTCACTCACACACACACTCACCACTCTCACTCTCACGCTCACTCACACTCACCCGCACACTCTCACTCTCACTCACACTCACTCTCACTCTCACTCTCACTCTCACACACACTCACACACACTCACACTCACACTCACACTCACACACTGACCTCTCTGACCAGGCAGTTGTGTGAGTTGAGGTCTCGGTGGATGATGTTCATGGAGTGCAGGTACGTCTGAGGCACAGAATGACAGAAACTGCTTTATTATCACTGATGAGAAAATACTGCCATCTGCAGATCACATTTCATTCAGGTACCGACAACATTCACCACAGTGATTTTTTTGTTTGTTTCAAATTTTTTATTTGAATGTATTTTGTTTTTCATAATTGTTTTAATCAAAGTTTTTTCATTGTTTTTTGGTTTTTGTATGTTTTTAGCATTTTATAATACATTGTGTATTGTAAACTAAAACTAAAATTAATATGTGGTAATTTATAGTTTATTTCAGTTTTGAAGTCAAAATCCATTTTTTTTGCTCAGTTTGTTTTTCTAAGCAAGCTAATGTTTTAAAGGGGTCATGTGATGTGATTTCAATTTTTCCTTTCTCTTTGAAGTGTTACAAGCTCTTGGTGCATAAAGAAGATCTGTAAAGTTGCAAAGACTAAAGTCTCAAATCCAAAGAGATATTCTTTATAAAAAAAGTTAAGAGTCAACCACACCTACCTAAAACGGCTCGTTCTAACACGCCCCCACATGACTACGTCACTATGTGGAAATATTAGCATAATGCCGCCCAAATGTTCACGCAAAGAAAGAAGGCGTAACTTTTATTCTCGCTGTAGTATTGTTGTTGCCACCGCCGCCATGTCGTGAAGGCGCTGTGTGTTTCGTTGTGAAAGCGAAACTATGTTTGGCCTTCCAAAAGAGGACACAACTAGAAACATCTCCAGGTTACGTATGTAACCATGGTTCCCCGAAGGGAACGAGACGCTGCGTCGAAACGCTACGGGAACGCCTCCAGCGTGACCACACTTTGAATCACATGTGTAATCAGTCCAATGGATGGGGAGGCGTCACGGGCGGGGTGACGTAGAGACCAGAAAGCATAAAAGCACATGCGGTGAAACCGGCGTCAGCTTCTAGGAGTGAAGCAAGCGCTGGCAGGGATGCCGGAAGTATGGCCCTGAGACGCAGCGTCTCGTTCCCTTCGGGGAACCATGGTTACATATGTAACCTGGAGACGTTCCCCTTCAGGAACTCGAGCTGTGTCGAAACACTACGGGAACGTGAATGCCCACACCGCCAGACTTGCAAATCCCCGCCTAGTGTGGAAGAGAACTACTAAGGCAAGAGAAATGGGAGCCAGGAATGGCTGAAATAGGCGGGGCCTGCCGTCCCGAAGGCCAACTTCTGGAGGAGTGAGCCTTGACCCCCGAAGGAGAGGGGAGATCAGAGGGCTCAAGGCTATGGAATAGCATCCTGATCCACCACTTAGCATAAGCTTCTCTGGCCGGAGGCCTCGGCCTCAGCGCACCGCGGAGGAAACGTGTAAGAAGAGGGTGTCTTCCCACTGAATGGCCAAGACCTCTAGGGTGGAGTGGGTCAACCCTGCGGATAAACAGGCCTGCAGGAACTTCAAAACTGTACCAAACGGGCAGCTAGCTGGGTCAACCTGGCGGTCTCGGCTACTGGCAGTCGACTGACCTCGTTCCAGCGCACTCTCTCCAGAACTCCCGGGAGCAGAACAATCGGGGGAAAGGTGTACAGACGAAGCCTCGGCCACGTCTGTACCATGGCATCCAGTCCCAGTGGAGGTGGATGAGTCAGAGAGAGAACCAGAGGGGACCGTGCGATATCAGTGCGAGTCGCAAACAAGTCCACCTGAGCCTGGCCAAAGACTCTCCAAGTCTGCTTCACCCCTTGGGGTGAGGCATCTATTCCCCGGGCCTCGGCCCCTACCTCGACAATATGTCTGCCCCCACATATACAAAAGACCACTGCTGTGTTGTCGGTGCGCACCAACACATAGCGATCTCTTAGGCCTGGGAGGAAGTGTTTCAAAGCTAGAAACACGGCCAGCATCTCCAGTCAACTTATGCGCCACGTGAGATGGCGGCCTGACTGCCTCAACCTCCTCAGAGGAAGAGAGGTAAACACGTGCTTTTTTTTTTATCCCAAGAGCCCCTGTATATCCAACTTCTCATAGTTCGATAAATACTTCATTTTATTCCTCAGAATCAAATGCAATCAAAC